GGATGAACTGGTAGGTGGACAAGTAGATGGATGGATGGATGGATGGATGGATGGGAGTATGGATGGATGGATGGATGGATGGATGGGAGTAGGTGGAGGCACAGGTGAACTAGAGCCTGAATGACCTGAGAGTGGGTGTGAGAACAGTGGGTTAAAGGGTGAGGAGCTGGGGGAACTCGTGGCAGCTGGTGACTGGGTGGGGTTGTGGGTAGGGGTCTAGGTGAATGGGTAGATTGGTGGAAGAACAGGCAGCCTCGTGGGTTGGTGTGTTAGATGCTGGGAGGGCAGGGAGAGAAGAGATGGAGGTGGTAGAGGGATAAGCAGTGGGCTTAGGAGAAAACGGGCCATGGAGCTCCACCCCCCACCTCCTTCCCTTGAGCCCCCTTCCCCTCTCTGTCCCAGGTCCGGGGCTCACCTCTTCTTCAACAGGCCACTGAAATCCAGCTCACCTGCAGTATCCGACTTCCCTTCACCCCTGTGGCCATTGAGAGGGGGTGTAAGTCTTGACCCCTCAGATCCCCACTCCTTGCTTTCCCCAGTCGTCCCTTTTCCCCCTCCCAAGGGAGAGTCTCCCATGGTCCTTGGGACCCTGGTAAGGGCCTGGGGTCACTTACGAACGCTTGAAGCTTTCTAGACTCTGCCCAGAGGCATCCTGACGGGGTGCTAGGGAGAGGTGATGGGAGAAGGGAAGGTGAGCTGGAGGCCAGGGCTGATCTAAGACTGAGAGCCGGTCCCCAGGCCTGCACAATCTCTTCCAGGCCCCCTTCTTCCATCTTTTGAACCAGCATACCCTCACAAAGGCCTGGGCATCCTCTAGTTCTAGAAGAGCTCACACTCATTTCCCTGGCTGCCACGCTCCACCCTCTCTCAGCAGCCTACACCCCCCACACCTGGACCACCATGTCTTTCTCCCCAGGCCTGGACAATCTCATTTCCTGTGCACCCCACATTTAAGCCCTCACACATTCTGGGCTGCAGACCCCCAGAGCCCAGACACACTCAGGGGTCCATATATGTGCCCTGGAATCCATGTAACTGCCTGTTAATCCTGTACACCCTCGCCCTAAACCCACGCGCCCTTATTCTCTAAACCTGGATACCCTCACTTCCCAAGCCTTTATGCCTACTTTCTCAGACCTGGAATGTGCATAACTCACCTCCTAAGCCTTTGCATGTGCATCCCCAAACCCTGAACATGTTCACCCCCCAAATCCAGACCTCCTCCCATGCTAAGTCTCCCCGAGTTTGAATATTCTGACCCCTGAATCTGTACTCCCT